GAGAGAGAGAGAGAGAGAGAGAGAGAGAGAGACTTTTGTAATCGTTTGTGGAGCAATGTGGACGTGGTTTCTCTCCAGGCTTGTTTTTTTTTTTTCGGTCTTGTCATCCCCGTACTCTTCTTCTTCTTCGTCCTCCTCGTCCTCTTCTTCTTCTTCTTCTTCCACATACACACCTGCAAGGTCTGTGACATACCACCACTGACATCCCCCAGACCCCCCACTGACATCCCTCCCCCAGCATCCTTCCCCCCCAGCCCCCCAACCCCCGAAGTTCACTTTTTTATTGCAGATTTGGGGTCCTCTAGTGTAGCGCAGGCTGCGCAGCACAACCCCGCCTTCAAAAAAAAATAAAAAAAATCCTTGCGGTGTTTTTGCGTTGCCCGGTTCAGCCGGGCGGGCCCCCCTCGGCCCAGCCGACCGGGCGCCGGCCCAGCTTAGTTAAATGGATCATACTGACGCCGGACTTTTTATCCCCACACTCGGGTACAATAATGGCCATCCTGGAGGTGAAAAACGACGACCCACCGGTTTTCCTTTCAGAATGGTTACTTCAGATCAATGACAGGGAGGAAGAAATTACCGTCTCAACAAAAACATCACCCATTTGATTCAGATGCAGAGATAAGGGTCACGTAGGGTCTGACCCTGCATGCCCCAAGTTTTCAAAACCAACAGAATGAAAGAAGACTTCACCCCAACATGTTGGTTGAGGTGGAGGACGCTCTGGGTACCTGGTACATTGTAGACCCGACCTATGACGGCCGGGGCTTTGTTGACAACCTGGATGACCCGGAGTGGGTCTGGCATTTCATGGACAAAGAACCTGCAACCAAAAAGCCGAACATCTTCCCACCTGCAAACAGCAGGAGGCAGGAGAAGGCCACAGGGAAGGAGACTGGGAACCCAACAAAAATCAGAGCTGTCCCCCTCAACGACTCTCGAGTGATTTTGGAGGAGAATCCCAGGGAGAATCTGCTGTGGGACCTGTATTCGGTCCGGTAACAGATGGAAGAAGAATACCGGAAAAAAACGGAAGAAATCCAGGCAAGAGTCCAAGCAATTATCAGGCTCAAGGAGGAGGAGGAAAAACAGGCAACAAACAAAAAACTCAACCAGATTCAGACGGACAGCAAAATAACTTTGGAAAAGAAAAGGCTGACAAGGGGAGAGAACCGGACCCGAAAAAGAGGAAGGGCATGGACGCAGCCAACAAAGGAAGGTCTCAACCCATGGAGGTTACTCAGAAGCCAATCCCGTCGTCGGAGGGGGAACAGGGGGACAGCGGCAAGTCCACTGATACCACTGCCCCCCTGGCTCCCAGCGGTGAGGATGGGGAGCCAGCGAAGCGGTCACTTGAATGGCTGAGGGACTATTTGAAAAAGCCAAAGCTGAATGTGAACACCTCTTTGATATCCGCACTGCCTGCATGAAACGTATGGAAAGAACACAAAATCTGAAGAAAGGCTCAACAGCAGGTATCAAAACTTCCTCCAACCAGTTTGATTTACTGGTCAAAGCAGAGGAATTTTCCAAGTATGCAGCATTCGGATATGCAGAAAAGAAAAGGGCAAGAGAACAGGGCATCAAAGATAAAGATATAACACAGGTTGACTCCAAAAAAGAAGCACTAGAGGACCTGAGACCAAAGAAATGGAGGACCTCCGTGAACCAAAAAAAAAAAAAGCAAGTGGCATCGACCAGTCAGCAACGGAACCCACAGAAAAATCAGCCCGATATGAGACTGAGCAGGAAATCGCAGTGTTGGAAGCACAGGCTGAGAAGCTGAAGAAGTTGAACTCAGCCTACGAGCCAGAATTTTTCTCACTCAGACACATAGCAGATGGGAAGGCCCCTGAGGTTTTGGGCCAAGCGATGTCTGCAAGGTTGACTCTTATGGGGACTAGACCACTTTTGGCTGCATGCTACATGGATGAGAAGAATGGCAAGTGGCCACAGATGTGTCCTTCGCAATCCCCAGGATTGATGAAGGCCAGAATGTGGCTACCATCCTGCAGGAGAAGATCACAACATTCTACCCTCTGGGAGTGTTTGAGACACTCCTTGGCGATCCAGCAACATGATAGACTGCACACTCCTTGGCGATCCAGCAGGATGATAGATACATAAGACCAGACAGACCCCAAAGACACCTGATGGATCAGATCAACCAACCAGAGCTCGGAACTCTCAGATCCTTCACCCCCCTCATCGCTAAGATGCCTGAGGGCACTAAGCTAAAGGGAGGAATGAGGTGGCGTCCATGGAACACGGTGACGACTATCTCCTACAGTGTGCTGACAGGGATAGGCATCCCCGCTGAGCTGCAGGCCGCCTCCCTGGCAGGGTTGATTAGCAAGGGAGTTTTCGAGGGTGACGGTGACTTGGACTCCAGGGCATACCCAGTAGATATGGAGAGATACTACCGTGATGAATGCGCTGAAGAAGAAATGGAGGATGAGGAGGACTGGACAACTGAAAAGGATGAGGGAGATTCTGAGACACCTCTGACAAAGGAGGGGAGTAGCAGCATAGGGGAGTATAGGATGGATGTATCCCTAACAAAGACTCAGTCAGACCCGCCGGGAGAGTTCGCTGATTCGATGGAGACTGGAGAGTCAGGCGCCTCTTAGACTTAGCTTCATGCGTCCTTCTAGACTCATCTGACGGTCTAGCTTATGGACATGCTGAGATGAGAAGCCAACAAGAAGGGCGCAAAGGTGAACTGGAAAATCAATGCATCATTATCCGGAGCTGGAACGTTAATAGCTTGGGAAAGATTACATCAAAGGAAGAAACTAAATGACATAATTAGAGGCCTGAGGGACTACACAGGGAAACCAACAGACATAATCCTCTTGCAAGAAACACACCTAACTAATTCAAAGGATCATATTCTTCACAAGAAAACTAGGAGGAATTAAAAATGAAATTTGGGCCTCAGACAACAGCTCAAGCACGAAAGGCTCGACTATCCTAATACCCAAATCCTCACGCTTCTTCACAACAGAATGGATGCTGACAATGAAACAGGGAGATGGTGCATGATGGATCTTAAGTGGAAAGAAGAGGAACTCAAAATTATCAACGCGTATGCACCCAATAACCCATCAGATAGATCGGAATACATGTCCATGGTGGGAAGTCCGGTAACACCTCTCTCACCCTGCATCATAGCAGGAGACTGGAACACAGCCCTGGACCCGACTTACGGCAAAATCTCTCAAGCAACCACGGCTCAAGCTTCACACGAAGCGGCTCCAGTCCTTAAGTTAATGATGGATCACAACTTGGTGGATCCTTTCCGTACGCTACACCCTGAAAGGAAAGCATTCTTGCCCTTAAAGAAAAACCACGCTCACCACACGGCTTTCTCCCGCATTGACTACTTCCTTGTCTCAGAATCTCTAATGGGAACCATCAAGGAGGCTGACATTCTGGCCATTGCCTCATACTCTGGATTGGATCACAAACCGGTTGAGATAATTCTTAGTTATGAGCAATACATTCTGAGATGAGCCAGCTTCCACAAGTTGAACGAACTCCCTCCTTGGTCATCCAGGATAGTGTACACGAATGTTGGCAAAACTCGAGAAACACATTCTTAGGACTACAAGATAGATGGGAATGGTTCCTAAAGAGCTATCTCTCACTGTCTCATTCAGTGGCTCGATTATCCCGAAAACTGGCCAATGACCGAAGACAGAGAAAATAGGCTTTGGAGAGAGCAATCAAGATTGCAGAGAGCAACTTGCTAATCGACCCTTCCTCAATCCTGTATTCAAAGACTTTGAACGATCAAGGGATGAACTGGCGATATGGAGACAATGGGAAGTGAAAGGCCTACAACTCAGAGCAAGAATGATGGAGTACGAGTAACACCATGGCAACCCCGGACCCGGACACCGGACACTTCCAGACTGTCTTCCAGACCAGTGTCTGGACCGGTCCGGACTGTCCGGTGATCCGGACATCACCGGACACCAGACACCGGACACCGGACAGTCCGGACCGGTGCCTGGGGTGCAAAAATGTCCGGAACTGGAAAAAAAAAAAGAAAAAAACGGGAGGGGCGGGGGGGGGGGGGTTGGGGGGGGGTATTGGCACTTACCTGCTTTGCACTCTGTAGTTCAGGCAGCAGAGCACTTGTCTTGCAGCAAATCAACCAGCACATTTAACTAGCAGACATGCAGATTTGCAAACAGTGCAAAGCAGGCACAAGACTAAAGTAACAGAGATTTTTTTTTTGAAAAAAGTATGATTAAACCACCAGTACCTACCGGTTGTTAAGGCCCGTGGCTCAGGCTACCGGTAGCCCGGTCGTTCCCGAGCCTCGGACAACCGGTACGACACAACGAAAACAACAACAACAACAACATTCTGCAAAAAAAAAAAAACCAAAAAAAAAACGAGATCAGACCTTTCCAACGAGAACGAATCTTCCTCGATAAAGAGGAAGATTCATTCTCG